TAGGTGCCATAACGCTACTTAGATCAAGTTCATTATTTGTATTGTTATTATTCGTTTACGTCACCTTTACTTGTTTGTTGAGCACTTCCGGTAATTGTCACATGGGTGTGGTTTGGTTATATAAGTCACCTGTTTGATGTCGAGTGCACATGACAGAGGGAGAGCTTGTGCTGTCTATTTTTCTGTTGACCGTTTTGTCCATAGTTACTATGTTTTGATTTTGTTTATTAAATATCCCTAAAACTATATTGCTTCAATATGGACTTTTTTTTCGAAAACGCGTCACAGTTTATAGCTAAGTTTAGCCTCTCTGCGACTCAAATGTAACTGGGGATTGAGCCGCCACAGGAGTAATGAGAGAGCAACTTTGAAGAGCAGAGAGCACGAGAGATAGACAAAGAGAAAAAGAGATCCGCATTCTGGGCCCCTTTCTTAATGGGTCGTGCAGTTCGCCTTTGTTATCAGATGCTGTTTGTTTTAGTCTTTGCCTTGTGGAAAAAACTAACACGGGCAACCACTGTGCCCTCTCTACTAATGCGCTGATTAGACTTCAACATGGCTGAGTAACTTATGTTAATACCACAGTACAAACTGTTTTTTTTGTCTCCACAGGCTGTTGTGTGTATGTATTTCTTTCTAACTATTCCTGCAGGAGGTGGATCGGATCCAGCATGAAGACTGTAAACATCATCATCAATTAATGTGCTCTGTCTTCATGACATTGGCTCTCGGATATGTTGTTTTTCTTTATTTGATTAACTTTATTCCTCAGATATGTGCTCATAACGGCACACTATTACAAGAAGGCATATAAATCACTGTTTGTCAGAACTACCTAATACAAACCGTATTAACCGTTGTTTAACAAGTAAATAATCATGTTCAACCTATATTCAATTTAATACAGTACAAAGACAAGATATTTAATGTTCAAACTGATAAACGTTATGTTTATTTGCAAAAATGGACTCGTTTTGAATTTGATGCCTACAAATCGTTCCAAAAAAGCTGGGACAAGGGCAACAAAAGACTGGGAAAGTTGAGGAATGCTCAAACAACACCTGTGTGTCCTTTGGTGAACAGGTACATTTGAAAAAGGTAAGTGTCATGATTGGGTGAAAAAGAAGCATCCCCAAAAAGCTCAGTCATTCACAAGCAAGGATGGGGCGAGGTTCCCCACTTTGTGAACAACTGCGTGGGCAAATAGTCCAACAGTTTAAGAACAATGTTTAATCAACATACAATTGCCTGATATTGAATGCTTTATCGATCCCTCAGGCGGCACTGAATTAAAAACCAACATAATTCTGTAAAGGGTATTACCGCGTGGGCTCAGGAACATTTCAGGAAACCATTGTCAGATAACACAGTTTGTCGCTACATCTACAAGTGCAAGTTAAAACTCTACCAAGCAAAGCCAAAGCCATATATCAACAACACCCAGAAACACGGCCGGCTTCTCTGGCCCGAGCTCATCTGAGATGGACTGATGCAAAGGGGAAAAGTGTGCTGTGGTCTGATGAGTCCACATTTCAAATTGCTTTTGGAAATCATGGACGTGTCCTAAAAAGGAAAAGGACCATTCAGGTTGCATACAACCTTAAGGCCACAATACACTGTGCATTAGGAGCAAGTGTGCATGTCACACACTGTAACAGATTTCACCATAGAATATAGAATATACAATACAATATTATATTTATTTTGAGGCATGTGAGATTGTGTGATCAATTGCACATCGTCCATCTCATGCTTTGTAAATGTCCCACAAACTTCTTGATTTCTCTCCTTTCAAAAACTTTACAAAAGTGTCCATTATGACGTTGGATGGGTTGTTGTAACCATTGTCGGGTGTAAGGCGTTACTGTAATCGCATTACATTTTTCGGTAACAGAGTAATGTAACGCGTTACTGTTATAAATATAGTAATCACACTACAGTTACTAACATTGCAAGAAAAAATTACTAGATTCGACCTAGCTGATTCTCCCTAGCCAATTCTCCAGCGGCTCCTGGACATTAACTTATCACTGGGGCAGTTATTCTTCATAAATAGATTTCAATATTTTTACGACGACCTCAGTCTTACAGTTGCGTGGCCTAGCAACAGCTAAAGCCTGCATG